TTTGGTTTGGTTTTGTTCGTCTTTTTGAGACAGGGTCACACTATGCAGTTCAGGCTGGCCTTGAGCTCAATTTGTAGCCCAGGCTGGTCTTGAACACAGAACAATCCTCCTGCCTCAGCCTCCCAAGTGCTGGGATTATAGGCATGCGCCACCACGCCACTACACCCAGCACAGTTTTAATTCAGAAAGTTAATTATTTTAGGTGGTTTAGCTTACAGGAGATAAGATCAACCTAAAAAATGAAGATGTTGGTTCCTGTTCACTTTTTTTTTTTGATACAGGGTCTCCCTATATAGTTCAGGCTGGCTTAAACTCACTGTGTAGCCCAGATTGGCCTTAAACTCAGCAATCTTCCTGCCTCAGCCCCCCAAATGTTAGTATAACAGGCATGTACCACCACATCTGGCATCTTTTTTAAAAAATTTAAACCAGAAGTGTAATGTACGTCTTAAATATTTAGCTTATTATACATTTTAAGTTGTGAACTCTTGTATATCCCTTTTAATAGCTTGTCTGTGGTAGTGAATCACCCTTTTCTCACGTGTTTTTTTTTTATTTCAGTAATTTAATAAGCAAATCAGAAAAATTTGATTAATTTACTAAGCTCTAAATAATTAACTGGCTTGAAGTACGTGGAACAAGAATTATTTTACTTCTGTGGGATAGTTGAGTATTATCCAGGCCAGCATTTTGTCCATTATGAGATGGGGTCTTGCTATGTAGTTCAGACTGGCCTTGCATTCACTATGTGGCCCAAGCTGCCCTCAAACTCATAGCAATCCTCCTGCCTCAGTCTTCCAAATACTGGGGTTGTGGGAATGTTCTACCATTCCCAGCTATTCTGAGATGTTTTTTTTAAAACTCTTTGAGCTGGACCTGGTGGCGCACGCCTGTAATCCCAGCACCCAGGAGGCTGTAGCAGGAGGACCACTGCAAGTTCAAGGCCAGCCTGGGCTATGCAGTGAGGCCAAGGCCAACCCGAACTGCATAATGAGACCCTGTCTCAAAAATAGTAAAATAAGCTCTTCACTTGCATTTGACTGGCTTAGATTTGTTATTGTCTAATCAAGTTAGCCAAATAAGACTTAAAAGTTTGTAAATTACCTACTATAATCATTTTCTTCTGCTAAATTCACAAACTTGCCCATCTTTCTTGCTGCCTGATGGGAAATATTTTAATCAGTCTTTATAGTCCATGGAGCTTGATACCTTAGATCTTAACTCTAGGTTGGCTGCCTAAACATGACTCTTGTTCAAGTTACACAAAAGAAATGTACAGGATAGTACTTGCACCTCTCAAGTTAAAACTTGATGCCGGGCATGGTGGCGCACACCTGTAATCCCAGCGCTTGGGAGGCTGAGGCAGGAGGATCATTGCAAGTTCAAGACCAGCCTGGACTACAAAGTGAGCTCAAGGCCAGCCTGAACAGCATAGCGAGACTCTGTCTCAAAAAACAAACAAAAAAAGTTGAAACTTGAATAGGGTCCAGCCAGTAAAATTTGTAAAATTTCATGACTCATCACAGGTCTGCCAGATACCTGACATTGCTGCCACACAGGTGCTGATTTGCCTTGGTCTGATCATGGTGTTTGAGAAGTGTTAAGGGAAGGCTCTGGGGTGGAGACAGAAGGCGATCATGGGTAGTTCCTGAGATGTGCTGGATCCTCTAATAGCCTGTTTTCCATGTATGGAAACTGAGAGTTACTTCCTCTAGACACGTGGAAATTTCCTCTTGGTCTGATACCAGTTGGAAGAGAACCTGAGCTTTGTTGTCTGTTTCTTAACTAGTGATAGCACTAAGTGAGCCCTGCATACGAGGCCTGCAGACGTGAGACCTGACCCTTGGAACAGCGTCAGAGTGCTGCTTTCCTCGTTTTGCAGGTGGTGTCTGAGACTCAGGGAGGGGCACAGGTCAGCCCTGCCCAGGCAGCTAACTGGTTAGGGTCTCCCCTCCCTGCACGGCGACCATGACCTCTGGGCTAGAATTGCGTCATGGAAAAGTAAATTGCAGATACGAGTGAAGTTAAATTTAGTTTTAGGTTCATGGCATACTTCACTTTTTAAAGAAAGCAGCAGATAAAGTGTGAGGAGTCCAGAGCAATCGGGTTCAAGTTAGAATGAGCTTTATTAGAAGAGTAGCATGTTCCTAGAGGGACGTGAAGGTAAGGCACCCTGAAATATTGCGGGGAAGGGAAAAGCACTACCAGTAAAAAGCTGTGTGCCAGTGCTTTTGTGAAGTAAAGGGAATGGCTTGTTAGGGTAATGCACGGTAATGACGTACTTCCATCTTGGGTCTTCTCAGCAAAATAATGTGCTCTTATTTTCCCTTGCAGAGTCAACTGCTCATTTTATTTCAAAATTGGAGCATGTCGTCATGGAGACAGGTGCTCTCGGTTGCACAATAAACCGACCTTTAGCCAGGTTTGTTTTTTTGTTTTCTCTTTTGTTGTCACATAAATTACTGACCTTTCATGTGCTTTTCAGAGGTGAGAAGTAATTTCAGCACATTAAAGGAGTCATTCCTCCCTGGTTTTGTTACCTTTGCACTTGTATTCATGGGTTCCCTTGTTCAAGCAAATGAAGAAAGCAGATGAACAATGGGGGGGGACCCCCCTCCCTGTTACCATTAGAAACTTTTTAAAAACAAGGGTCCAGCATATATTGGCTGCAACTGATTCACTGCCTGCCGTCTCCCCACCTCCTCTCATAGGCCGATGGTGGGGGCAGCGTTTACTGCATCTCTTTTCCAGGCACTTTTCTGCTCTGCTCATACAGCCACTGCACGCAGAATGCTGGCAGTAATCTGTCGGCTGACACGTGGTGTTGATCTACTTAGGTCTCGGTACTTAAGCACCACCCAGAGGTGTCCCCATTTTCCGAGCCCAAGTTGAGCAAACACTAGGTTGCACCATGTTGTGTAAACATGAAGGTAAAACCTAACAGTAAAGGGCACCTGTTATCTGTAACAAGTGTCGTCTTTTGGGCTTAGGTCTGCTCTGAATTCAGTTCAGCCCCAAATTGTGCGTTTTGACAGTTTTATGTGGCTGAAAAAAAAAGGCCAGAACTTGTGCCCCTAAGAGGCACACTGGTGATCAGAAAGAGAAGCAGCAAGCAGCATCCACCCAAGTGTGTAAGAACGTGTGAACTTGGGAAGGCTGCGGCTGAGTCTTTCTGGACCCGAGTGCAGAGCTCCTGTGACCCGAGGGTCTGCGTGTGCAGCCCTGGCATCTGGGCAGTGCCTGCATTCTGCCACGTGCTCCTCTCTCCGTGCACTGCCTTTCTCACAGACCGGACCTGTTTTTCTGCCAGTTGTGATAAGGGAGCTGGAAGAGAGAGATTGGTGTTTTACCACTTAAGCCCTTCAAAAACCCCACAACAAAACGTGTTTTTCAGGGGGAGGAGCACTGTAGGTTTTCCCCTGCATTTTTCCTGATTGCCAGGTGGTTCAATGTTCAGGATGTCTGAGAACTTACTTTAAACTTTTGTCTAGTTATATTTAATTATTTTGTTTAAAAAAAATTATTTTGTTTATTAACTAAATTTCTACCACTAAATCAGTGGCCAGGGGTCTTGCAGTCTTTAAGAACCATGTGTCCCCTCGGGTCTTTGATGAGCTGGGGGTCTGGGAGACACACCACTCCCTCCTGAGAGTGTCCTCTAAGCAAGCAGAAGCACTGGCTTCATTTTTTCTCTGAACCTCGCAGGTGAAATGTGAGGTCCATTTAAGCATTGTGGGTCAGAGCAAGGTGGTGCTACCGTTAAGGTTCAGTGGGTCAGTGGTAAGTTAACCAAGCTTCTTTTTTGGTTCTGATTCTGTTGGAAGTCACCCTGGCCACTCTGATATTAACGGAGCCGCGTTGCTGCTTTATTTGGAGCTTTCTGCAGTGAGCTTTAACTGTTGAATAGCAGGGCTCCACTTAGCTTGTCCTAAGAGGCATCCCACCCAGTAGTTCTGGTAGAAAGCTGGAAGGTCAGATCCACGAAACCCCCTAATGGCTGCTTCAGTCCTGAGAGTCCGAGTGTGCAGTCCGCTCTCGGCCCTTCCTCCGGGTGGGTGCTGCAGCAGGCCTCGGCTAGCCGCCCATGCTCCATGCCCCTTCACATGTGGCTCAGAGCAGAGCCGGCGGGTCTGTGAAGCCCTTGCAGGCTGCCTTCTCTACACTCGGGTTATTGAGGCTCAATAGTTATTTTTCTAAGTCATGTGTATATTGGTTTAGCTTGTAAATCTAGCATAATTCAGGGTGGGTTTCTTTGTAAGCTGCTTACAGTGATGTGGACAATAAGATTCATGTACTATATTAGCTTACTAACTTAAACATGGTTTGTTTTTTCAGACAACTTGATTTTAAGAAGAACGGTACAGTGTAAGGTTTCAAGTCTGCCTGATCCAGTTTAAAGGACAAGGGCTAAAAGGATTATTTTCCTTAAAAGAAGGATCGGAAAAGAGCACATGTTTTAACTATTGTATTATGTAAACAGAGATCCCACCAAGAAAGTGTAAATAAGAGTCAGGTATCCATGACCACTTGGTGTGCCTGTTTTGCTAGAGACCAGAGAACTTGATGTCCTGCATACAGTTGAGTTATGCATTTGGTTGAGAAAACTAATTTTGTGTGGGGAGTATGAGGATAATGTGGACTTTTTGACATCCTAGTGTCTGCTGGCTTGAAGTACAAGACAATGTCAGTGTTCCGTTCCTTATCTTGTATTAAAGCACTTCACAACCCATAACGGGGACTACTCAAAACAAGCTACAGTTTCTTCTTGGTTGCTGGCTGACTTGGCCCAAGTCACTGCTCAGACTCTGTTTTCATAATATGATGGTGTTGGTGTACTCTGCACAAGACAAAATGTCTGACTTGCGGGAAAAACAAAAACAAACGTTTAGCCATTGCAAACAAATTGTCTCTTTGCAATTGTCTGATATATGCACAGCAGCCAGTAGAATTCCCCTTTTTATTTTTTTTTCCCCGCAGACCATCTTGATTCAAAACATCTATCGTAATCCCCAAAACAGTGCACAGACGGCTGACGGCTCACACTGTAAGTCCCACAGTTGGAGAAATTTTTTTAAGACAATGGTGTTCACGAGCCCACTCTTAATTGAGACATAATGTTGGCTCTGAGCTGCTGACATAGAGCTGTTGCAAACAGGACAAGGTGCTGGAACCGCGTGGCGCACACAGCCAGAACTTGATGCGGCCAAGTTCAGGAGGCTCTGCTAGGGCGGTCACTGGCCGGTCTCTCTGCTGACCGCCGTCGGTCGGGAGAGCGCCTGTCCATGTGAAGCGGGCTTTCACTTTAGCAGCCGATCATTGGGCTTCCCAATGACTGAACGCCTGGCCTTTGTTAAGTTCTTTCTGTACATTAAAAATGCTAGGAAAATTAAGGAATCAATAAGGTAAGTTGCCCAATAAGTGTGGGTTTTATTTCACCGTTACAATTTTTCCTCTAGGAAGTGGAGATTTCATGACATGTAATTATTGTATTTCTCTAATGCAGCAATTTTTTTCATCCATCTGTAGAGGCACTTTTCTTTCTGTTCGTTAAGTTTTCTGCTACATCTAAGATCATTTTGGTAGTTGCTGGCCTGGATTGGAATTGGAGGTGGAGTGCTGTTTCTGCACTCCGTAAGCAGAAGTACAGTATTGGCATCTCATGAGATCTCTGTCACTGTAGAGTTAGGTAGTTCAGGGCAGCCACCAACTAAAGGAACGTCCCTGCTTCTGAAGAAAATAACCTGCTCTTTTTTCAGCACTGACTCAACTGAAGCGATCACCAAAGGCAACCGGTGAAGTGTTTACATTTAATTTTCCATAATATAAAGTTGTTGCGTTTTGTATTTCAGACCATTGCCCTCTTGAACATTTACCGTAACCCTCAAAACTCTTCCCAGTCTGCTGACGGTTTGCGCTGTAAGTTCATACAAGTTCTTCCCTGGTTCCCTGGGCTTGCGTGTCAGAGCTCAGTGTCCACTCCACCTGGCCTGCTGTGCTAGTGTCAAGGGCCGCATTCGCGAGAGGTGGCAGGAGCTTGTCCCCTGGCCCGTGGAAGCCTCTGTTGGAGAGCTGAGCGCCTCCTGCCCCTTTCACGAGGACAGCTGTGACGGGACAGGGCGCCCTTTGAAACAGTTCGGACCTGCTGCTCTTCCTCCCGCACCTGGACCGTCATCCTGGGGACGCGCCGGGATTGAGTTGGAGCTCTGTTCTTCCCTCTCAAGAGCAGCAGTATCGGAACGTTTCTCTTTCCAGAATTCTCAAAAGCAGATTGCTTCAAAATTTTTCAGATTTCATTTCTCATTAGTGGTTTTTGCTTCAGCTCCACTTTGGAGGCCCCTCTCGTTCTGAGAGCCTTGCTCAGCATTTCCCAGACGAGAGCCTGCAGTTCGCGCTGACCCCTGAGCCCTCCTGCCACACCCGTGCCATGCGCCAGAATCAGATAGGTGCTTGGCGGAAGAGGCGCACTTTTCAGCCACCTACTTTGCGTAGATAAATCCCCAACCTGAGGAGCTAGCCTGCAACGTGTGGGGAACCCGGGTGCCTGGTGGGAAGCGGATCTAACCTGACCTTCAGGAGACACCTGGTTTCTTCCTATTCTGGGAGGTGTTACGTGTAGGTTGTGCATATTTGCAGAGTGGAGGTTTTTAAAGAACAGGACACAGAGTAGTGGCATTGAAAAGTTCAGAAATAAGATTGTAATTTTACAACTGTTCAGTAAAATAACAGATTTAGTCATTTATGGGTACATTGAAAAGAATGCCTGGACCCTTGTTAAAATAAGGAGTCCAGACCACAGGGTAGAGACTTGTCAGTCACCAGTCCACATTAAAGCAGTAGAAAATGAATAGAGGCTGCCTGGGAGAGCTGCAGGCCTGAGTTACGCGCCTCAGTGTGACCCCTGGGTTTCTGGGTGCTGAGCCACCCTCGGGCAATGCCCCTCGGCTGGATGCACATTTCTGTGTTGGGGGGTGGGTTTTCTTACACATTTTTTCTGCTGAGATACTACTACATGGTTCTGATGCTAGTACTGATTTCATAGTAGAGATTTCTCTCCCTGAATCTGATGATAGCAGAATATACTTAGTAATCCTGGTTTAAAATACTTGGTGTTTCGTACTGTTTAAAGAAGAAATAGGGTCGTCGGGCATGGTGGTGCACAACTGTAATCCTAACACTCGGGAGGCTGAGGCAGAAGGATAGTTGGAAGCTCGAGACCAGCCTGGGCTACAAAGTGAGCTCAAGGCCAGGCTGAACTGCATAGTAAGACCCTGTCTCAAAAAGACAAAAAAAAAAAAAATAGAATCAACTTGGCGTGGTGGTGCACACTTGTAATCCCAGCGCTCTGGGAGGCTGAGGCAGGAAGATCGTGACTTCACGCCCAGCCTAGGCAGCTTAGGCGGTCCCTGGACCCTGTCTCAAAAATAAACAGGTCTGGGCATGTTGCTCAGTGCAAAGGTCCTGGGTTCAATCCTGGGTATGCCAGGGGTGGGGTGGGGTGGGGTGTCAGTAGGCGGAGGGAAATCTTTATTATGGACTCATTAATTTGTTGACCTTGCCCTGGGTAAAAACAAATGGGAAGTAGATGACTGAGTAACTGCAACTAAGCAGCCTTTGCCCTGGTGGTTCACTGCCCCTGTATGTTGTACTGACAGTAGTGTTGTGTTAGCTTCCTTTGTGTCTATTTTTAAGTCACAGTGCTCCTGTTTTATGTATGCTGTAACCTAAACATTCAGTTTCTACTTACCATTCCAGTTCTGGGGTTGAGATCAGAGTAAATTAAACTCTAATCCTGCATTTTAGAAAGAAAATCAGTTACCTAAGTAAAGTCACTGGTTCTTTTTAACATACCCTTTCATTTGTAGAAAAAAGAGCTTCATGTGCATGGATAAATGTTAAATACGAATCCCAGTTTAAGAATGACATTTCTATTAAAAAACGGTCATTTTCTAAGCGGTGTTACTTTAAATATATGGGGTCATTTAAGTATGTTCTGTTGATCAGTATCTTAACGTACTGGTTTTTGCTTTCAAGTCATTCTGACTGATGAAACACTAGGCAGAATGAAGATAGTAGTTCAAAATAACCATCACGAAAAACACTTCTCAAAGCTGTTAAAACTTTGAGCATTTCAAAATGACTTCCTTTTCGCATTCTCTTCGGTATGGAAAAGGAATTGAGTTTTAAATCGCGTTGAGATCCACACTGTGGAAGGAGCGGCCTCTGGCTAGCTTTTCTGTTGCCACCTGATTGCTGCTGGGGCCGGAGGTGTGTCCCTGCCAGCCCGCTCACCTGGCTGTCTGGGGTGCCAGTGGCAGGCTGGCTGTCAAACAGGCAGCTGCTTATTTGTGAGCTTTGGGATTTAAGGCAAACTTGAGTTCCTGGAACTTCAAAAACAACTAAAGCACAGCCCCAGGTATGTTAGGAAGGGGACGCAAGTCATTCTCCAAATCTGAAGATAAGTTAGCTCCTTTACCTAAGAGACAAGCAGGGTGCTGAGCGAGCGCGAGGGAGCCGCTCTGGACTCCCGGACCTAGTCCAGCGCCCGTGGTGATGCGCCAGTTGGGCAGGTGGCTGGGCTCGTCAGCTCGTGTCCTGTCCCGGAATGTGGCTGTGGGAGGTGATCGCACCCAAGTCGGCCCAGCCTGGAAGCCAGCTGGGCCGTTCCCAGCCTCTGACCTAGCTGTTTGGAGCATGACTTTATTGACGTGATACTGTGTGATTTCTCAGATTTAGGTTAAAAGAACTCGACTTCGAACAGTAAAATTTGGTAGAGAGGATGTCAATGGGGATAGAGTGTAAATTTGCGAAATCACCCATGCAACGGGCATGATTTCACTTAGTGCATGTGAGTGTGAAAAACCGATGAAAATAGTTTTGGAATAAAAAATAAGAATGCTGTCTTCAGCAGAGCATTGTAGCTTTCCCTTTATTCCCTTTATTCAGGGGCATCCAGAGTACTGAGCCTTGTACCTGGTGATGGTACTAAGTGTGGTCACCTGGGTTTTAATCACATCAGAAAGAATTTTCTAGCCTTCTCTGGCTGGCGGTGTGTAACAAACAAGTTAGGCACATAAACTCTGAATCATGGACCCAGATTTCAGCCTTTTCACCTAATAAAGGAAAATCAGTGTGCTTACTTGGCCTCTATTCTAAATCTTCGAAGAAAATTGTATTTTAAAAAGTCTTAACTTGAGAGTCAGCCTTGTCTTCCTCACTTTCTGAAAATGCCTTTTTGATGCTGATTAAAACTGGTGGTGATTATTTTGATAGCCAGGATGGAGACTGTCACGGGGCATTTCACCATCTCAGCATACTCTTGAGTCTTATAAGTCGGTGCTCCTGTAGCGCGCAGCTCTGGCCTGGTGTCCTCTAGACAATCGTGTGTGTCACTGTAGCAGTTGAGCATAAGGACGTGCACGCTCAGTTGCTGGCCTCTAACCAGCTAGCTGTCTCTCACCCGCAGGTGCCGTGAGCGACGTGGAGATGCAGGAGCACTATGACGAGTTCTTCGAGGTGAGCGCACCAGCAGCCACAGCCCTGGCCCCCGTCTGGCCGGCCAGGAGACTTGGGACCCTCCCCTGCAGTAGAGATCACGAGTGACCATGCCACTTCTCTGGGCCAGGGGTGGTCCTCACGTTCGCTGCTCTCTCTCCAGGAGGTCTTCACGGAGATGGAGGAGAAGTACGGGGAAGTGGAGGAGATGAATGTCTGCGACAACCTGGGAGACCACCTCGTGGGGAACGTGTACGTCAAGGTAGGAGTGCGGCACCTGGCTGGCCGGGGCTGTGGGGGCGGGGGGACCTCTGAGCAGCCAGCTGGAAACGCTGAGTGCGGGGGACTGCATGGCCATGGAGTAGAGCTGTCGGACTAGGGACAGGCTTGTGTGTGGTTTGGTTTTCTTACTCCCACTTTCTATGCACGTATCACATTACCTCCAAATCGATTGAATTTGAAAACAAAGCATTGGCATGGTCTTGGACTGCCAGGAAATTAATCTCCCTGCAGATAAAGGCAGGGCAGATTTCTCAGCCTCAGTTGTACGGCACCATTCCACCTTAATTGCTTTACCTGCGTGCGTGTGATACACAGTGGACTGATGGCTGGAGTGTGAGTGATGAGTGTTTCTGTTCCGTGGTTTCAGTTTCGCCGTGAGGAGGATGCAGAGAAGGCTGTGATCGACCTGAATAACCGCTGGTTTAACGGACAGCCGATCCATGCCGAGCTCTCTCCCGTGACTGACTTCAGGGAAGCCTGCTGCCGTCAGTACGAGATGGGGTGAGTGCGGGGCCCCATGTGGTGGGCAGCTGCACCCCAGGGGTGCTTGGCGGCGTCCTGAGCTCTGGCCTCCCTGCCCCACAGGGAGTGCACACGAGGAGGCTTCTGCAACTTCATGCACCTGAAGCCGATTTCCAGAGAGCTGCGGCGAGAGCTGTACGGGCGCCGTCGCAAGAAGTGAGTACTCTTGACGTCACTGGAAACCTGTGGGCTTCCCGGGACGACGCTTCGCTGGCTGTCATCCTGTCCTTAAGAGACACCAGGTTTGGGAGAAGAACATAGTGCATATCTGTGGTCCTACTGCTCACAGAGAGCCTTGGGCTCAGCTAGGCCAGGACTGAGAGGCAGCGTACACAGCAGTTGATCTCCCAGTTAGGCAGAGTAACCTCTTGAAGGCTGCATATGCCCCTTGGGCTTTAGGCAGCTGTTTGCATTTTCTCGGAGGTACCCACAGCATCCTCCCTGCAGACCATGGGCAGAATCGGGCACAGTGGTCATACCCACCTGGTCCTGCCTTTAAATGCCCAGCTGTGAGGCCAGGCTTGGTGGTGTACACCTGTAATTCCAGCATTTGGGAGCCGGGGGCAGGAGGATCGCCACAAGGTTTGAGGCCAGCCTGGGCTGTATACACGGGTACCTTGGTTTGCAAATGTTCCATGATTCCGGGAAAGATGGCCATGTTTGTGTAGGAAAGATGGCAGCAGTTGTTTTTGTCACCTGCTACAGAGTTTGCAGACAGAAAATTTGCCAAATGCTTGCTTGGGAACCAAATTGTTTGCAAACAAAAGCATTCTTGGATCAAGGTACCAATGTCGTGAGTTCAAGGCTAGCCTGGAACACGTGGTGAGGCCCTATGTCCAAAAGCAAAACCAAAAAAATGACCCAGCAGTCACGTCGTGTCCCATCCCATCCCAGAGCAGAGAGGTCAAGTTGCCCAGGGTGCATGGTGTATCGCTGGCTTCCTGGTAGGCTGGCCTCTGCTCCTAGGCGGGGTCACCCCTCTCCAGGTATCGGGCAGGTATCGGGAAGTAGAGGCACTATTGGGGCATCTCTTGTTGTCCACAAGTAGCATCAGAGAAAAACAAGCCTCCTACCCCCAGATTAGCCTGATGGGTTGGGAGGGCACGGGCGTGTGAGGAGCCTTTTATGCTGTGCCCTGCCACGGTCATCGCCAGGTCACGGTTCTGAGACAGAGGGTAGAAGGTGTTCTCGTTCCATTGTAAGGTGTGCGTTTGCCCAGCACGGTCAGCAGCTGGTGATCGGACGGTGGCGTTGTTTCACCTCTGTCAGCACCTTAAGTCCAGCAAACCGGCTGTTGGGAGGTATCGATGCCAGCAGAGCCGTACTGCAGCTGCAGCCTGACACCTATGCGTCTCTTCCCTTAACTGCAGGCATAGGTCGAGGTCCCGGTCCCGGGAGCGGCGCTCTCGGTCTAGAGACCGCGGTCGTGGCGGAGGCGGCGGTGGCGGAGGCGGCGGAGGTCGGGAGCGAGACCGGAGGCGGTCGAGAGATCGGGAGAGATCTGGGCGGTTCTGAGCCATGCCGTTTTTACCGTATGTCTGCTAGAAAGTGTTGTAGTTGATTGACCAAACCAGTTCATATGGGAATTTTTTTAAAAAACAACAAAAAAAAACACAAAGATGGGTTTCTGAATAAAATTTGTAGTGATACAGTATTCTTGGTGTAATTTATTTCTCGTGGAAGGTATTTTACATTTCTTTTATAAAACTGCCAATCATCTGTCTTCGGGGTAAAGATTAATTTCCATCTATTACTTTGGGTATAAATGAGACTGTATTTTTGAACTTTGGATATAAAATAAAACATAAAAAGTGAGGGAAAACTGGAGGGGAAGCGTCGAGTCTGTCTCTTGCATGTGCATGTTACCACAGAGCACAGAACTGCCCTCGCGGCCGCGTTCCAGGCTCGGACGCTCAGTAAGTCGGCAGGCACATGCGGCCGTTCGCACCCATCTCCTCGCACCAGTCTGCGGGTTCCGGCGAGACGGATGACTGTCGATGTAGCAGTGACTGCAGTGACCCGGCCCTGTGAGCAAATCCCCTTGCCTGGCACCGTCTGCGGTTACTGCCCCTGAACCGAGAGCTCGCGTTCTGAGGTGTGTGTTTTCTAAGGGCTGGTTGGTTCGCATGTTCTGCAGTGCTGAAGTCCTGGGCTGCTGGAGGAAGCGGGTCTGGGCCGTGCCTCCTCGGGACTTCAGGCGGAAGTGCTGCTCACCTCTGTTGCGCGGCTGGCTGTTCCTGTGAGACGTTCTAGAAGAGCATGGCACTGCTGGGCCTGGCTTGGGCCTGGGCTGGCCTGCGTGAGACGCTTTTGTCTCAATGGTGTGGGTGGACTGGGGGCGTTGAGGCCCCTAGCTCAGCACCAGCGCAAGCCTCAGCTGTCAGTCGTGCGGATCCGGAGCCCATGAGGTCTCGGCTCTTAACCGTCCCTCGAGTGGAAAGGGAGAGTGAGAGGCTGTGTGGAGGTGTCTGCAGGCTGCGGCCAGCCCACGTCTGCTCCCAGCACTCGGGCAGGAGGCTCAGGAGCTGGAGGCCGGTCTGGTTCACAGGCCTCCTCTCCAGTCTTCACATGTAAAATAGCGTGGCCCGCCAGCTGCGAGGCACCCAGGAAGCTGGCGCGGGCCTGTCTCAAGGCCGCAGCGCCCGCTGCTGCCACTGCGTTGTGCTTGAACTTGATAAAAACCCTGTGCAGTGAGCAGGGGCAGACCCTTTCAGTGTAGGTTTTGGGTCCAAGGACGTGTTTCCAAGGAGGGGAGCAAGGCAGATTGGTCCTGAGCCCGGGTACAGCTCACTGCCCGTCGCTACTCCCACGTGACGGTGCACGGTAAGACCGATCGCACCTGGGGGCGACTGCCAGCGTGAACTTGGCCTCAGGCACCCCCGGGGCCGAGCCTTCGCTGCCATGGCTGCTGCTTGCGGGACGGGTGGGCCTGCTGCATGCGCGTGCGTGTGGTAGGTGGCTAAACCCATGGGAGCATCAACTCCTGGTACACCTGCCCCGCCTGCTGGAGAAGTCGCCTCTGCTGTGGGAGCCCGAGCGGGGCGGGGTGCTGTGGAGCCCTCCATAGGGGTTCATCTAGACAAGTTGCGCCGCAAAGCCAGGAGGTGACAGTGTCGGCTTCTGGTTCGTGATCCTTCAGGTGGAGGCGTCGGGGCCAGCGGCTGCGGGCCGAATGTTAGTCCACGCTGTAGTTTGAATGTGGTCTCTGCCCCTGAGGCCCAGGGGGCGCTGGCAGAACCTTTGGGAGGCGGGGTCTCGGTGAGAGGTTACGGGGTCCCTGGAGCTCTTCTGCACACCACAATGCCACGGCGCAGAGGATGCTGCAGGCCCCTGGACCTGCAAACGGAGCTGAGCTGACATCCAGCCTCTCCCCGGAGAAACGTGCCGCAGCCCAGGAGGCTTCCCCGGCCACACAGGCACATGGGAAGCTGCAGGGACAGGGTATATGATTACAACACTCATGAAATCTGCCAGGCAAAGTCCCGTGGAGCAGAAGGACCAGAGGAGCACCCACAGCCCCGTGCTGAGCGTCTCGGGAAAGTCCATGGACTGACTGAGCCCACAGCCACTGGCCCGGTGCCCCGACGACACCTCTGCCTGAAGGATCACACACCAGAAGCTGACACTGTCATCTCCCGGCTTTGCACCCGGCTTGTCTAGACGAGCCCCCACCCGGGTGGGTGCACACAACCTGAGAAACAGACTTGCTTCACAGAGAGAGCCGCTTCCAAGTGTTAGACGGAGCGCGCCATCCCTGCAAGTCGAGCTCCTACCTTGGAAGCGCCCCTGTAGCAGCCCTTCCCTCGGAGCTCTGGTCTCGGCCCTGTCTGGGGTTTGTGGGGCTGTAGCTGAATACCGAGGTGCCTGGCATAGGCCACGGACCGGGCAGAGCCCATGCCCAGCACTCCTGTCTCAGAGCCCACAATGAGCACCTCCTCCAGTCCAGAAGGGACAGCGCCCAAATCCCTTCTGTGAGCACGCGTGATGCCTATAAAACCTAACCAAGAGGCCACGCCACACGACACGGCCCAGCTCGGGCTGCATACAGAATTCCAAAATGAAACACTGGAAGGAAAACCAGTGACACATCCAGTAAATCCACCACCACTGAGTGGCACTGACGCCAGGAATTCAAGGGTGGAGCAGAGTAAGGAACTGAGTTTGTTACCTGGTTCGGCCTCAAAACAGATGCCAGGGGATGGCCCGGGGAAGCGGGTGCCACATTAAGAGCACGCTGCCAACCAACAGGCTGGGCCTTCCTCCGAGAGGAGACAGCAGTCCTTGACAGGGTCAGGCGTGGTGGTGCACACCTGTAATCCCAGCACTTGTGAGGCTGAGGCAGGAGGATTGCTATGAGTTCAAGGCCAGCCTAGGCTACACAGTGAGTTCAAAGCCAGCCTCAACTAGTGACACCCTATCTCCAAAAAACAAACAAGCAAACAAAGGGATGACGTGCTAATGAACAGCACTGACACCGCGGACTCAGGCATGGGGAAGGAGGGTGCTGCGAGACCCTTGGGACAGGAAGGAACTTGGTCCTGGGGCCGCGCAGGCTGGGCTGATGCCCCGACACCTTTGTGTCTGGTGTGGCCCCTGCACTTGGGGGTCTGTCTGAGGCAACAACAGTGACAAAGGAGTCTGGGACCACAGTGGAGCAGGCAGCGGGCCTGGGTCCAGAGCAGTTGGGGCTCCAGGGTTCTGCTGTTCTTGTTTCTGTTTTCTGAGGTACTGTGGATTGAACCCAGGGCCTCACTCTTGGTGGAGAAGCCCTCTACTACTGAATACATCCTCCCCCACCCCTTTTTTTGGAACCTCTCCCTCCATTTCCCAGGCTGACCTCAAGCTTGGGATCGTCTTGCTTCAGCCTCTCAGAGTGCTGGGATTATAGGAGTGGCTCTCATGCCTGGCAGACTTGGCTGTATTCTGAAGGAACGTGAGCCAGGGGACTTGCTCCCCCAAATTCAAAGACCAGGTCTCCAATACCCACCACCTTGGTGGCCCCTTGGTTCCACAGCTGCACAGCTGGTCTGCCTGGAGGTTCCACACTCTGGGGACCCTGCCACAGTGAACTGATAGCCCACAGCCAGGACCTTCCTGACTGCCCTTGGGGTTCACAATGCCCTGGGGCCCACTGTCCAGCAAGGCTTCCTGCAGCTTTGCAGAGACCTCATGAGAATGAGGGAATTGTGTGAAATTGTCTGGATTTGAGGCAAAGCGTGGTGGCACACACAGGTGATCCCAGCACTCAGGAGGCTGAAGCAGGAGGATCACTAGGAGTTTGAGGCCAGCCTGAACTACATAGAAAGACCCTGTCTCAAAACAAAAATAAACAAGAATAAAACTGCCTGAGTTTGGAAAATGTAGCTGTCCTCCCCCGCTCCAATTCTGAAGAGCAAACACAGTGTGAAGTTAAATTCTCCTTCCCCTTTTTATGTTCCAAGAAGCTGAAGTTCAAGGTCTTTTCTTTCCATGACATCTCAAGAGTCCTGGGACCAGCCAGGTGGCCATCTCCCCTTGCCTGCTTCCAGAGGCACCGCGGGCCCAACTGGCCTTTCACAAGCGATCTGGGCTTATAGCACAGCAAAAATGGCCAGGCTGTCCCCTGGTGCGCTGAGAAGGGCGATGTCTCATTGAAACGCCCCTCCCACCCCTCAGGCCGTCAGCTCAGTGAGGTGGACACCAGCACATCCTGCCCTCTCAGGGACGCCTTGCCTAGCCTCTCAGGCCTTCTTCTGAAATCTGGGTGGATGCCTCCCTGGCCCCACAACCCTTGTATTTTGTGTATCTGTACAACCAGCACCATGTAAATGACACCAAGGTCTTCTGCCAGCTTAAGCAGTGGCTGGGCCCCTTGAACCATGGCTGTAGCAGCCCAAGTGCCTGCATGGCTGAGCACTATGAAAGGAATCCTGGGGAACCAAGTCCCAAGGCAGCCCTTCCCAAGCCCTTCTCAAAGGAAAGGTTTATGCTTTGCACTTGGGCTCTGGAACAGGTGGGGTCTCGCTAAATCCTAAGATGCTCCCCTGGCATCTTCTTGTCCTCATTCAACATTCTTGGTTTCTCTTCCCTACCTCCTCACCTTCCACCCTAGTACTAGGGATTGAAGCCAGAGCCCTCACCCTGAGCTATATATCCAGTCCCTTTTTTCCTTCCTTCCTTCTTCCTTCCTTCCCTTCTCAGTTTATTTTTGAGACAGGGTCTTGCTAAATTTCTAAGTTGCCCAGGGTAATCTTGAACTTGCAATCCTCCTGCTTCAGCCTCCCACAGTGCTCAGATTATAGGCATATGCCACCACCTCTGGCTTTCATTTATTTTTGATGGCACTAATTGCTTCAGCAGCCACACCTCCTTCAGCTCCCAACTCTACACATGGATCTTTTCGAGACAAAATTTTAAGTTTTTCAAATACTTTTGCTCTGCTTTTTGTTCCTGATTCTCCTTATAAATCTGACTAAAAGCAGCTAGCTCTACCCATGCCACAGCCTGCACACTGGGTTGCCTTAAAATTTCTTCTGCCAGAGCACTTAGTCCACAGCTATTAATTTCATCCTTCCAAAGTCTCAGGGTATGAACAAAATATAGACAAGTTGTTTACCAGAATGTAACAAGCATGATCTCTAGCCCAGTTCCCAGGAGAATTCTCCTTCTCAACTG